GGCATTATTAGGAAAGAAAAAAAAGATGCTTTAATCTGGAAGGGCTGAAAGAGTCAGTTGAACGGTCAAGCTCACATAGTTGAAGATATCTATCTGTAAAAGATTTGTACGGGATGTACTACAGGGATTATAGTTTAATCTAGTAAATACTGATACTATATTGGGAATAACAAATGAATAGGTGCTTATGTGAACTGCATATTTTTATTTGTTTCCTTGAATTGCTTGTATGTTGATCTGGGTTTACTGCATAACACCCAGCATAGATTTTTGTATGTGTGAGAATGCTAGAATGAAAGGTGGGAGGGAATGACCTAGATGCTGTAAGGTCAGTTTAGCAAGGAAGAGGTGAATTAGAGCTAGAAAATAAACCTTGAACTTTCTGGCCTTTCAATACACCTACAGAACCAGCCCTAGAAAGCTTATGAAACAAAATAATTTAAAAACAAGGATATCAGCTGCTAAACACATTCAGATCTGACAGAAATTTTGTAAAAAACCCAACAGTAGGAGAGCTGTGTCAGACAGGATGCACCCCAGGGCCAGGCATAGCATCCCATCCTGCCTTCTCACCTCTAACTTCTGGCACAGTATATTTACAGGCAGCCTCTAGTTCTGGCAACTCTCACTCAATAGAGATCTCCTCAGCAAAAAGGTCTGAGCTCCTGGGGACTGAGATCAACAGTCCTATTATTTGATGAGCAGATCACCTGAGAAATGAGCAGGCTGGTGAAGGCAGCTTCAATGTCAACAGATGCCTGCATTTAAAAGTTGGTCTCTTACCAAACTCTTTCTAAAAACACCACACAAACCAACCCAAAAAAAAACTTCCAACTCCTTCAGGGTTATATTCTTTGATTTAGAGGAAACCAGTGGAAGCTTAAGTTTGAATCCAACATTTTGATAAGGTCTGGGTACAGAAGGCAAAAATATCTATGCTGCTAAGCTAGTATGATGCTTATAGTGATAGTGACTGCATCTGAGCACTTGGTGAAGTATGTGAGGATCTTTTCTCTTGTCTTCTCTGAACAGCAAGGCTCAGACCCTGTTTTCAGGAAAAAAATCCAAAGTGAATCTTTGTTTTTATCATTCTGCTAAACACCTACATTACCTTGTCTTGCTGCTTTCCAAAAATGTGGAGAGCTTTGATACACCATGGCAACAACTCTGTAGTTTATAAGTGAGATTGGTTGCAACCTTGTGATATCCCAACCATGAGGTTTGAGATAACCCTGCAGTCCCTAGGATGCACAATCATTTTACACGCTGTGCAACTGAATCAAAACAGTCCATAATAAATTTTTCCAGACACAGGAGGAGAAAAGTACTACAGAACTCCACCATATGCAGGGACATCAACAGATGTTTGGTTTTTTTTTAATAATTTAACAGCGCAACCACATATACACCCCTTCAGATAAGGTCTCCTGCAGACGCCAATGTGAGAAATGAAAACAATCATTCATGATGACAAATAGTTTTCACCTAGCAGCTTCCTTTCACATTGTGCCAAAAGGAAGCGCTTGCATTTCCTCTGCTGCAGAAAATGCCATGCCTCATTTCTTTATTACTCTACCCTCACCAACTGACTGGACTCTCAAACAAAATAAGATGACAATTTTTGGTCCAAGTACTCTTGGATGTCTACCCTTGCTTGGGTTTGCAGAGCTTGGCAGTGTCTGACAGTGGTCTGTGAGAGAGATCACCAGCCAATGCCCTCCTGATGCACAGGGAGTGCCTGGACGTCAAGCTCCAAACAAAAGTGACCCTCAGAAATGGTATACATGAGACAGCTCAGCATGAAGCTGTCCTTTCCCACAGAGGACAAGGCAAACTGAACTGAACCTTGCTGTTAAACAGGGGCTGTAACTGTCCCTCTTTCTGGTCACTTGTTTCCTGAATGTAATGGGCCTGTCATGGCTGTAGTTACGAATTAATGTAATTTTGGGAAAAAGTCCGAACCCCAAAGTCTTCATTTGCATTTGTCTATCCCAACTGCGACAAGTAGATAACATGTTCTTCTCAGCTTTGAGTATGATGGCTAGCTTTGAATCCTAAAAACCATACATATCCTGTGTAGGCAAATACATGCACAAATAAGCAGAAAACATAATCCAAAGCAGTCATGCTTTGACATTTTCTTTGATGGGTTTTAAGAAGAGGAGGTGAGATTTTAAGTAGTTACTTGTACTACTGCTTGGAAAACCACAGAGATCTCAGAGCAGTCTTTTCTCTCTGTGTAGCAGTGTGCAACTAGATTGTCACCAATGCTGTTCTCAGCAGTCTGTCAGCAGAAATTGAATTTAGGATTCATTAGATTTTAATACAGTATGTGTAGGAAACAGACTTATGGAGGCATGTGATGGAGCCTGTCCCAGATAGAAGTGCTTTAGATGTGATGCCAGGGCTTGGCATGGGTAAGGCACAAGGTTCTTTGAGTATCAGTGGCAGACCCCTTCTCATTTCCATGCAACAATGAAACAGATTTGTTTCCATCTTCTTCACATTGTTTTCTCCTGCAGGGAAACCAGAACAGGGTCCGCTGTCTCATGCCCATTGCACTGACTGCTTGCAAAGTATCTCAGTGAGTTCAGCAATGCTGTAGTATGTCTTGGCACATGACACTTCCCTGAGCATGGAGTGGTTTTTTTCCCAGGGAGTATGATGTAAAAAGTGCCCTCATGGTGGGGCTCTGCCTAGCACCCTGCTCTTTTACAGCAGTGGACCACACCAGACACACAAGTCCTCAAAAAGAGCAGGTTTTCCCTTTGTTAATGCATACATCATTGCCAAAACTGTGATGCTGTCTTTCCTCTTCCCCAAGTGAAGACCTATGCACCATCTGCTTTGTCTTCCACCAAGCAGAACAGCTGAGAAGGCAGAGTCTACTCACCCCAGACTCCCATCTGATTGAACGGAGATGGCCACTTGGTTTGCCTCATGGTGTCTTAGCTGACAGAGGTTACCTCTTCCTTGTAGCTTGACTGCTTCTCTTTACATCGTTGTGGTTATAACAAGCCTCCTTTTAAACAGACATTTACTTCAGCAGCTGGAGCAGACAGAGGGGCTCATCCTCCACTGCCATCTGTCCAGCCAGCAGTGGAGGATGAGGGGCTTACAAGTACAGTGCTTGTTGCTGGCATATTTCTGCATTGATTCCTGATTTAAGGACTCAGGGGATCAGTGTTTTGTGCACTTTCAGGCTGGTTGGTTCAGCCACTTGTTGATGCCACAATGACATTTTCAGTAAAGGGATTCAACTGCCAAGTGATTTTTTGTCCTGCACTGAGGAGACAGGCACCTTTTCACATCATCCAAGCTAAAAATTTCAGGTAAGTCTGGGTGTTTTTTAAAAAGCTTCGGGTGCAGTTTGCAAGACCACAAGCCTGGAACAGGTTCTGATTAAAACAGATTAACATCGCGTATGGACTTGGTACAAAGGTGTAGCGAAAAAAGCTTCATTTCTGAAAGGTATGAACATCTAGCATACCTATTTCCTATTGTGGACAACCAAAAGGGAACACTGGAACTACATTTCTTATAATAGACATTGACCTAATGTAGATAAAGTACTTTTTAAAAATACTAATTTCCTGAAATGTTGGGTTTCAACTGTAAAACACAGTTGAAAATTGTTTTATGTAACTTCTCTTGACTTTGAAAATGTACAGTTACAGCCCTATGGCCCTTTAGTACCCACAACCTTCAAATAAGGTTGAAAGAAAATGCCAAAATGAAATAAAGGACTGAAGGAAGATCTTTGGAGCTGAGACACCTCTGCTAAACCTAGAATTGCTTGCTGAAATTTACTTGAAATTAGCTGCAGGAAATCTTTGCTCTTTCATTCATGTAGAGGCCTTTGGTTGACAGTACAGATTTCCTCTCTCTTCCAGTTCAATGCAATTGGTAACATTTCAAAATAGAAAGATGCATACCCTATCTGAGTGGCTCCTGCCTGCCTCCAGGAATACCACAGCTGACTGGACTTGCCACTTGCATGTTGTGATGCTGGGGGGCTACACCTTCAGGGTCCTGCTTGCCTCTCCAAGGAGAGCACTTGGCATACTACACATTTTCAGAAAGATTGTGAGAGCTTTAAAAAGCTTAAATATTTGAGGCTTCTGTTAAATTGCTTTATGACTGCACAAATATTTCCACATCTCTCTCTCTATTCCTCATTCCCTCCATAACAGTGACAGTGTATCAGAAACCAGCTCCAAATACTGTTCATGGAAAAGGCAGGATGAAGATAAGAGCACTAGTGTGTTCACCTGTTTGCTCTGCTGACAGGGTGAAGATGGTCAAAATTGCTTGTTTTTCTCATGTAGATGAAACAAATCCTGTCTATATATATCATGGTTTGTCATACAGAATCCTCTTCATGATGAAAAAAAGGATTTGGATTATTATGTTAAAATTTTCCGTGGGTCAAATCTCCAATTCTGTAAAAGCATGTTGCAGTCAAGACAATTAGAGGGCTGTGCCTCCAGGTTTTACTTTTACGTATTTCTAAGCTCATCTCAGGGCAGACTCATTCAGCACAGTGCACAGTAAAAATATGATGGGAGAAGAGGCCAATGCCATTATAATATCTAATGAAAAAGTGTAAGTGCAGTGATGGTAGCTTTGAATGTGCACATGGTCTTGACTTATTGCATCCCACACAGCTCTGAGAAGAATGTATCATTAATAATTTGTAGTAACGCATGGCTTCTAATTGATTGAATTATTTTTTCTGTTTAAAATAAATGGAAAAAAAATACATAATTCATTTCCTTAAAGCTCATGTTGTGTCAGAACTAGCTGTGCTTTTACGACGACATTCACTCTTCTAAAGTGCCAAAGCATTTACTCCAGCATTTTGGGAGGATGCTTAGCAAAAGACAGACTGCTTTCATCTTTGATAGCCTGATAAAGAGGAAAAACATATCTCCTGGATGAGAGATCAGATTTGTTATGCTGAATGGGTGCCATAGAGAAGAAAACAGCAAGTAGCTTACCACATCAATTATCTGCAACAAGGAAAGCTGGAGCTCGACTACGAGCGGCTGGGAGTCATTCACTACGGGTCGTTCCAGACGATTGTAGTTCCGCAGCAGCTCTCTGTACAAGCGTCTCTGGCTTTCCCCCTGCTGAGAGACTTGAGGAAAAGAAAGAAGGTGTCTGTCATTCACACTGTCACACAGCCACCATTGTACATCTGTTTTGTTGAAAACTCCCTCTTATTAGGTTTGTAATTAGAAAGCAGTTCCTAAAGATATCACCCAAATTCTGCATATGGATGTGATACAGCTTTTCTGCATATGTGAATGATGAACTCTCAAAAAAATTAACTACTAACACTCTAACTCATTAGTAACATCCAGAAGCTACTGAACAGAATTGGGGCTCTGACTGAATATTCCTTGGAGTCCCTCCTGCTGATGGACAGTAGGGTTGAGGCTCCAAAACTACCAGGCAGCTTCCTGGAAGGCAAGCAAATGAACTCATTAATTTGCTTGTTCTTATTTACTAGACACTGGCTACTGTGAGCCAGCACTTACTTAGCCATATTGTGTTTATATCAAGCATGGGTAACAGGTACCCTTATTTCTTGGAGCTGATGTATCAGGCTTTTTTCTATGCTCAAGAAACAGTAACAACTGTTCTTCCTATCCTCTTCAGTTTTTCCAGGTTTTGGGTTACTTTCCTTGACTTTTTTCCATCTGATGGCAGCACACTTTGTTAACACCTACTGAGGTGGTGATATAAAGTCTAGAGTATTTGACAGCTATTACAGAGACATTGAATTTCTGATATTACGCGCTTAACTCAGTTTGCACTGAGAACTGACTCCACATGAAGCTGTCATGCAAGCAGCTGAGCATGTTGAAGATTAGCAGAATTTCAGTCTATGCTTAATTTCCAAGATGCCCTAGTTCCCACCTTTGGGGTGGGTGTGGAGAGCATCCATCTCACCTGCTCTGCCAGGTTGATGGATGTCATAGTTGATGACAACTATGGGTGGTAAAGGTTTGGTGATTTCCCTCAGCAAAGCAAGGCGTTTGCTGGGATACACTGCTCAGAACCCTAGTTTCCCCAAAACTGTGTTGATCTTGGTGCTGTGGCTAGTGGCAGCCTGAGCTCTACCTAAGAGCTGCACCTAAGAGAGGGAAGGTCATGGGCTGCAGGTTCCCTGAGGTCAATCAGTTCTGTCAACATGAGTGTGTATTCTCTGAACTGTATAAATTCAATCCCTGGCAGAGAATCTGCACTCTAAATCATTATTACTTTGGACTGAAGCAATTTTTATCCACTGCAGTTACCACTCTCTGTATATGACGGTTTTTACTTCTTGATTGAGGTTGTGATGAATATTTCCTTGACAGTGCAAACAAACTGTAACAATCCGTTCTGCCTTCCCAGCCTCTTACTGTGCTTAGCAAACACTTCAAGCCTGAGACAAGCTGCCCTACAACAAAGCAGCCATGCCTTTTAAAACTAATAATAAATTCAGTTTATAAACACTCCATAGGTCTGTTTAACTTGTGTTCTTTTCATTTTTGCTGATACTCAAGGGAGATTGTGACTTTCTAGCATGGCAGTGCCTAGTAAACAAGAAAGAAGAGTATTTTGGTTCAGTTTAGTAAACTACACCATCACATCAATTTCATGAGTCCTTTTTCCTCTTGCATAACATTCTACATGATCACAGGCACCCAGAGGAGCAAATGCTGTAAGCAAGCCTTCAATAGCCCTTGTTGACACCTCAGTATTGGTTGCTGTGCTTTCACCAATGTGCTTTCTGACCACAGTATCTCTCCTTCAACATCTTAAGTAATGTTCCCTGCTTACTCATGCAGAGATTTAAGTCCTCTGTTATGGCCTTAGTATTTTCCAGTGCCTCAGCAGGACCAGACTCCATCATAAATGTCTTGTGTGTGAAGGAAACCTGTGAAAATACCACATGTTGTCCTATGGAAGGATGCTCTGAGTTTGGAGCAGTTTGGATGCTCTGAGTTTGCTGTCCTTTCACTCACCTACCCACCCATGCTCCTGTGCTTTAGGGAAGAAATTACTTTCTGAATTATTGCTCTCATCTTGAGTACTTACATAATACTTGCCTTCAACCTTTCTTTTAAGCTGGCTCCCTCAGCTTTTAAAAGGAGAAAAGCACCCTTCACCAGTCTCTGAACCCAACCGGGCTGCCAGACTGCCCTGGTACTACTATTGTTGGAGTAAGTTGAAGAGCCCCCCAGGGGAGGGGGGGCTTGCAGAAATCTAAGCATAACCCTTTGCTCTAGGCTTTGGAAAGCTATCTTTGCACTGTGAGCTTCATCCATGCTGAAGTCAAGCTGTTTCCTGTCAACAGTCAACAGTCTTTCCCTGTTAAACTTTGTGAGATGAAATAGAGAAGAACTGTGCCTAATTTTCCATCCTTTCTTCAACTCTCCTCTCTGTAATATAATGCTGGTACTTTACAGTCTCTTGAATTCAAAACTATTAACATGGTCATAGATGATCTTTTCTTAGTCTGCTGAGTTGGCATTGGTGACCATATATTTTTGTGCTGCATGGTTTTCTTACAAAATGACATATCTTCAGAAGCAATGGAGCCCTGGGGTGTCCTGGCAAAGTGCCACAGCAGCTGTTGGTACCACAAAGAGCTGGCTAGCCTAATCACACTGCCATGTCTCTGCTACAGCTGCTTTGGAGAAAGGAACTGAGGTGGAAGTCTAGTCTGACTTATATGTTCACAGCCTTTTTCTTTAAATTGTAATTTTCAAATACTTAATGTTTCATACTCGAGACAGATTTCTGCTTTTTTTCTCCTATGTTTGTGCTAATGCATTTTGACACTACAACTCTGTGTGCTAAATTGAGTGCTTGCTGGTGATGGGGAAGCCTGAATCTCCCAGGACTAGTGGTAGAATAAGCTTTACCACTGACTACCTCTCAGTCACAGCAAGTTTAACCAAAAGCGTGGCACTGGTTCATCTTTTAAACTAGGCTAGATGACGGCTGTAAATATTTAAGGTTGCCAAGTCAGTCTCCCAAAACCAGTGCCAGACTTGCTTGCCTATGTTACTGGTAAGTAAAAGTAACTGGCAAAGGGCGTGTTTTCTAAGGAAAGGATCTGAGAGTTTTTATGACCCACTGCCTCTGATAGTGTCTCCTTTGTCTATGAAGTATCTTTGAAGCAGTAGGAAAACATACAAACTCATTAAAATTTGAGTGAAGAGCAGATTAGAATGTTTACCTCAAGCTTAGCAAGACTCTTGACACCATCTCTGAAAAATTCTCACACACATTTGTCTATGCCTTGCAGGCTAGATAAGAGAACAGTGGGCAGAAAAGTGGCTGAACTGTCAGGCTCAGAGGATTGTAGTCAGCAGCAAAAAGTTCAGCTGAAGGCCAGCCAGTGGTGGACTACTCCAGGGATGGATACTGGCAACAATGATATTTAACACTGTTATGAATGAATGGGACAGAGCGCACCCTTAGAAAGCTGGGTTTTTTTCAGATGGTGCAAAACTGGGAGGAGTGGCTGATACAGCACAAGGTTTTCTGCCACTCAGAAGGACCTTGAAGAACTGGAGAAACGACTGACAGGAACCCCATGAAGTTCAATGAAAAAAAGTATAAAGTTTTCCTGCACCTGAGAAGTAATCCCAGGTACCAGAAAAGGCTGGGGGCTTGCTGTCTGGTGAGCAGGATAGCACAAAAGCCGCGAGGAACCTTATACGTACCAAGCTGACTATAAGTCAGCAATGCACCCTTGTAGCAAAGGTCACCAGCACCCTGAGCTGCAACAGGAAGAACCACACAAGTAGATCAATAGAAATGATTCTTTCTCTCTACACAGCACTGGTGATACAGACCTGGAATGCTGGATCCAGTGCTGGGGCTTATCAGTAGAAAGGAAACATAGAATTACCAGATCAAGGGCTGGATTGTTCCTCAAGATTTACTGTTTAATACTTTGAAAATGAGTATTAAACTGCTAATAAACTAAATAACTAAACTGCTCCTGGAGCTTGCAGACAACTGGGAAGCAAAAGGCAACCAATCCTTGGATTGGCTGCTAAGAGCTCTATGGAAAGCAGTTTTTTTGTGCACTACATTAAACTTTTAAACGCCTCTCTGGAAATTCCTTCTGTGCTTCTGCATATGCAAAGAAGTCTGCAAGAAGCCCACTGATTGAATGATTCATATAAACTATAAACTGCTACCAATCTTTTGAGCATAGATGCTATAGTTGTTTTTCATGTTTCTTTCCAAGATGTAATTGCTGAGAATTGCACAGCAAGGGAACCTGCAGTTAGGTCCGGCCAGACTATCCATATGGCATCCCCAGGAAGGACAGATGCTCTCTCCTTTCCAGGAGCTGTGCTGTCATGCCTGGTCTTGGCTGGTTGATTTTCCTGCTCTGCTTTGCGTGCCAAGGTCTCCAAACTATAAGGCAAGAGTCCAGCCCTTCCAGTTCCCCAGGTTTGTTCACAAAGTAGTCAGCTTCTTAACTGAGGATGCTGGTCCGAGACATATTCTGGCTGGTTGTGCACAGCAAAGAATAAATAATGAAATATTGACAAGATAGTAGATAGGTAGTAGAACACGGATTTCCACTAGTTTTTCAACAATGACATCTGTATTATCAACCATTCTATATCTGTTTCATAGTGTTCCCTGGTTTTGTTTTCATAATCTCTCAACTCTTGGAGAGGGGGAGCTTCTGTTTTCTAGCTGTTGCTCATTTCTTTAGGCAGACACTTGAGTCCAAATATACAAGTCATTACTTTATTCATACAAGATTATTGGTACCTAACATCATGGCTTTCAGACAAAATATCATAGTCTTTCCATATCACTTTTTATTAACATATATGCATGCTAACATGCCTCTGAATTATAAAATGTCTCTTTGTTTTCTTCTTCTGTTTTCAAAGACAGTTCCTAAAATCACTTTCATTTATAATCCTTTTGAAGAACATGGTAAGTTACAATCAACAGTATGTTTCTGATCCATCACATTATTGCTTTTATATATTTTGCCCCCCCAATACTTCATGAAAGGTCTCAAAATTGAGTGATACTGTAGCTGTGACATTTATTCACTCCCCTTGTACCTTCCGCAAGTATTTCACCACATCTATGTCACTTTTTTCTCTCTGAACTGCTACTTTGACGTGTATCTTTTGTTTTGGTTTATTTGTTTGTTATTTGTTTTGTTTGTTATTTGTTTCATAAAAGAAAATGAGTAAAGTTCTGGCATTTATAAAAAACAAACACATCAGTCCCATTATACTGTGAAGTGTTGTTAAGTCTAGTTGGGTAATGATTGCACTTAATTTTCTTATAGCTGGAATATTTACAGAGGAAAAATCCATTAAAAACTATGGTTATCAGAGCTAAATCCTAGAACTTAAAACTGTTTTCCTAAAATCTTCCTGCCACAGCTCCTTCTATTATTTATTTTCATTTCAGTTTATCACTGTACTTTTGCAGGGATATTTAGCTATTTTTAGCTATTGCTTTCAGAATCCAAACAGAATGATCACAGGAAACATATAC